GAAAAAACATATATGTCGCACTTTTTGGGAGAAATTTATTTTAGAAAATCGGGGACCAAGAACCAACATTTTATCTTGAAAGGCAAGTTATAGTAACGTAAGTAAGTAAGTAAAGTTTGTCATTCATTCCAAACTTTCTTTCTGCTGCTCGATTACCGTTTTCGGCTGAATATTTCACTACTTGCAGCAGGACAGCGGCTTTATCTGCACGAGTCATACGTAGAAAACTGACACAGAAGACTGGAGTGCCCTGTGGTGGATGTCAGTCTGAAAAATGTAATATAGAGCTCTGGACCTCACGTGACTCATGGTGGACGGGTCGCCATTTGGGCAGTAAAAATGGATAGTGCCACCGCCGAAGCTTTCAAGCCATCGGAGCACTCGTCTCACTTTAATTCACAAGACATTGAGGTTTATATCAAAGAATTAAATCGATTAAACATTACCGACCCGTATAATGCCACCGGGGTGCTTTTAAAAAATATTTCCGCTGAAGAAGACGTCCCAGATCTGCAGTACACCGGCAAACGACCCAAAATTGGTCCGATTGACGAGCCTGTGTTTCCTGGTAGAACAGTGATACCTCCAATTATCAACACGGATGTTCCCTGTTAAGACCACGGGCCGTCCTCATCTCAAGTGTCATCATGAACTCATAAAACAGCAGCATGTAGAACTTTGTACAAACTCACCGCATCAGCCCGGAGCAGAAGATCTGAGGGAAACAGCAGCAGCAACAGCGATGAAGAGGAACAGTCAGCGGCGCGTTGGTCAGATGGTCCAGAGGCCCGTCCTCCATGTGCTGGTTCCAGACGGGAGCGAGCAAGACCGGTGCTTGATGGTCTGGGTCTGAATGGTTCACGCGGGAAAAGCGAGAATGCGCTGTGGACTACAGGTCCGGACGAGCCGCTCTGGTCCTCCGCGCTCAAGAACGGCGGCTGGTTCCGAGGTGATGCAGCATCCAGACAGATGCGTGAGTCCTCCGCGCTCTCCGTTCTTCCCAGGGAAAGTTCTTCTCAGGCCGAGGCTCCTAACACCACTGCCCGCTCCAGCTCCACTGAACCCGAGCTGCTCCCGTTGGTTCAGGACTCTGGTTTGGATCTAGTCCGACTGTATTTCTCACACGAGGCAAAAGCAGGACATTTTTAAAGTTGAATCAATTGAACAGGCTATTGACTATTGCCATAAAATTATTGGGTTAATTAAAGCCTAAAATAACAAATGCTGGTTGGTACATGATCACGGGGAACACCGGGACCTCTGTGTGCGTGCAGGTCCTGAACAGACATACACACCCCCAGTTTAGACTCACTCTGGACTTTCACACATTGGTTCTTGCTCTGATCTTCGTGTGTTACATTCTCGGTATTGGCCATTGTTGGCAAAATAATTCGGTAATGAATCGCGGCTGCGTCTGGAGAACAGTCTGTTACTGCGCTGGAGTCGTACGGCGCGAGTCAGACGATCTGTCGATTACTGCCAAAATGGCGACACCTAGTGCGTGACGAGCCGGTATGACGTCAGCTCCCGGAGCTCTATAAGTCGTCCAGACTATAAGCCGCCATTGACCATTTCTCTGGCAATCATTTCAAAAACCGCCCGGTTCCTCGCTTTCCCTCCATTGACGAGACTCGGAGCCTGACGTGTAGGTGGGATGAATGTGACCTGATCATTCGGACTGAAGTCACATGTTAAAAGATCAGATATGTATCGGTTTTAGGAGAACATAAATGCATGTGTCATTGGTTCATTCGTTTTTCAATATAAAACCAAAAATAAGAAAATCAAAAAACAACAATTTTCTTCATTATTTGTCTCCAAAATCAAAATAAAAAAACAGAAAAAACTATTCTTTTTTTTTTTTTTTTTCAGTTTTCGATTGTGTTTGAGACCAGTTCAGTCCTGTTTTAGTCCTGGTTCAGTCCTAATTTAGACCTGGTTTAGACCTGTTTTAGTCCTGGTTTAGACCTGTTTTAGTCCTGTTTTAGTCCTAGTTTAGTCCTGTTTTAGTCCTGGTTTAGACCTGGTTTAGTCCTGGTTCAGTCCTGTTTTAGTCCTGTTTTAGTCCTGTTTTAGTCCTAGTTTAGTCCTGTTTTAGTCCTGGTTTAGACCTGGTTTAGTCCTAGTTCAGTCCTGTTTCAATCCTGTTTTGGTCCTCTTTTAGTCCTGTTTTAGACCTGTTTTAGTCCTGGTTTTCAGTCCTGGTTTAGTCCTGTTTTAGTCCTAGTTTAGTCCTGTTTTAGTCCTGGTTTAGACCTGGTTTGGTCCTGTTTTAGTCCTGTTTTAGTCCTTTTGACTCTCTTGTGTCTGTTGCTGTTCGATTTGTAGCAACAGGTCCAAACACACGTTATTCTTCATAATAAACTAAACGAAACCCCGGGCGTTCTCCTCATCGTTCGCCCTCTCCCCCTCCTCCTCCTCCTCTCCTCCACCGGGCCCCCTCCTCTCGTCGGCGGGGCCCCCTCCTCTCGTCGGCGGGGCCCCCTCCTCTCGTCGGCGGGGGCCCCTCTCTCTGCAGTGGTCTGGTTGTTTGTCACGGGGCCCAGCAGCGGTGCGCTCCGGTGCTCTGCTTGTGTCCTTGTGAGGCGCGGCGTGAGGATGCCGTGTGGAGCGCCGTCTCCACAGACTGAACAGTGAATGAGGATAAGTGAGGAGCGCCAGTCAATGAATCAAGCGGCGGGAAGGGAGCAGCCGGGGGGAGCGCCACGTCCCCCCCGGGAGACGCCTCACATTAGGTACTTCCTGGTCTGTGTGTTTCTGGCACAGGTTAAATGGATCGCTCCCATTAGCGCTCGGAGAGGACAGCTCCATTATCTGAAGGAGACTGTAACTTTGAATGTCACGGCGCAACAAGCCGGGAGCGCGGCGCGTCTCACAGGGCTGCCCGCCGGTGCCCATCTATGATAATCATAGAGTGTCAGCGAGCGGCGGGCGAGACTCCATTACTGCCCTGTCAGTCTGGGCCCCGCTCTGTCTGTTTACAGGATGTGTGCCCCCTGCAGATAAGAGCTCGAGTTAACCTGTCGCTGTGAGCGCGCGGCTCCGGCTTAAACAAAGACACACGGAGATCTGAGGCCAGACACGACTACACCTCCTCCTGCTCCTCCTGCTTCTCCTCCTGCTCCTCCTGCTCCTGCTTCTCCTGCTTCCTCCTGCTCCTCCTGCTCCTGCTCCTCCTCCTGCTCCTCCTGCTCCTGCTCATCATCGTCCTCCTGCTCCTGCCTCCTGGCAGGAGGCTGCTGCTGCACAGACACAATCAGGGGTTACTCTTCACTTCTGTTTCATTAAGTCTACGTTTATATGATGACGGTCTGGTTAAATCCATGTGTCATTTGTTTTTCAATATAAAACCAAAAATAACAATAAATTGTCTGTCTGTCTGTCTGAACAGATAAGACTTAGTTTTTTCAGTTTTTGATTTTGTGTTAAAATGAAAAATGGAAAAAAATGGATAACGGACGTTTCCCATTTCTGTGACTTAAACTGCGATGCTTGACTGAAACTGGACTAAAACTGGACTAAAACTGGGCTAAAACTGGGCTAAAACTGGGCTAAAACTGGACTAAAACTGGACTAAAACTGGACGAAGCCGGTCTCAGTTCTCGTCTCAACCCTGGTCTGGTCTTGGTCTCGGTCTCGGTCCTGGTCTCGGTCCTGGTCTAAGTCCCGGTCTGGTCCCGGTCTTGAGTCCCGCTGACACAAATGTGTGTGGAACTGGATTGTGTATCCACACCAGGCGGCTCGGTGGTGACGCTCGGTGGTGACGCTCGGTGGTGACGCTCGGTGGTGACGCTCGGTGGTGGGATGTAAACACATACACGACATGAGCAGATCTGACCAGAGTTTTGCGTCTTGGGCAGTGTTGACAGAAACACTACGGTGGAGTGTATACAACTTTTCCTCTCTAGACAGTGTTTTCAGATTTTTGCATTTTTAAGCCTCAAAAACTCCATCACCGTCTAAACGAAAGACACTTCCAATAAAATATATGTCGTTTTTACCCTCATTCCGCGTTCTTGTGTTCTCCTCATCTTAGATGTCAACAGGGTTTTGTGGTTCCGGGTGTTTTCTTTTCTGTGGGAGATGCTCCAAATGGCTCTTTGAGTATTTAAGGTCGCCAACTCTTGGTCTAACCGTACACAGCCCATAAACACAAGAGTTTTCTGCCAAGGAGAGCGCCCCCTCCAGACGACCCTGTGACCCTGTGGCCCGAGGAGCAGAGGAGCAGCTCTGGCCTTGTGGGTCTGACTCACCGGATGAGTCTGTGCCCGAGTGTCTGGACTCTGCATCAACCAAACCCTCAACAGAGAAACAAAACCTGCAGAGCAACACGAGACTCGAGCTTTTACTTTTGATACAATAAACATTTTATACTTTCAGTTTGTGACTTTTAGAACCATAAAAATTTCATGTTTTCATTCTCTAAAAGCGCTCATCAGGTCTTAAATTTAAACAAACTTAACTGATCCACAAGGGAAATCATTTTAAGATCTTTTTAAGGTCTTTTTTCCCACAATCTGGAAGTATTTTGTCTGAGGAGTTAGAATTCCTGTTTATTCGTGTTTGGGGATTTGGAGCTGGATTAGTCATTACCCCGTTTTTGAGATTTGGAGAGTGTTTTTTGTAATAGATAAATACATTGTTTTGTCGTTTGCTGTTTTTTAGACGTTTCATTGTGTATTACATAATTTCGACTTTGTTTAAACATGTGGCTGACTGGTGCACAGGAGCCAGACAGAGCAGAGCGTGTGGTTAGCGTGGCACACCGCGGGCACAAACGCCTCGCTCGGCACAACAACTTTCAGAAAACAACCTGCCAACTACAGCTGCAGACTCGACAATAAAAAAGAAAATTAGGCCAAAAGATTAAACAAACATTAATAACAGGGCAAAGTGAACAGAGTGTGAAAGTGCACATGACTCTAAGTGTCCACAGGATACAGCGGTGAATTTTACTGTGAATTCGTTTTCATGTGGTTTTCCTCTTCTGTTTTTTCCAGGTATCTCAGTAACGAAGAAGACGCACACTTGTGAGTACTTTCACTCTGCACGCTGACACTGAGCCGTGGCTTTCAGGGCTGTTCATGGACTCGCACATTTACACGAAAATAGAATTCAAAATGTAATGATATAACGGAAGAGAACAGACCTCTGCCAAGGCATTACAGACACCGCATTAAAATACACTTACATTTTTTTTTTTTCATCTTTTATTTGTTAAATTTTACAATTTAATTTTATTTTATTTGTAATTTTTTTTTCTATTTTTACTTTTACTTTTATTTTGTATTTTTATTTTATTTCTATTTTTACTTTTATTTTGTGTTTGTATTTTATTTTGTATTTATTTTATTTTTATTTTTTTATTTTTACTTTGTATTTTATTTTAATAATTTTTTTTTAAATTTTGCTTTTATTTTATTTTATTTTGTATTTTATTTTTATTTAATTTCTTTTTTTAATTTTACTTTTATCTTGTATTTAATTTTTGTTTATTTTTATTTTTTATTTATTTTTTTTATTTTGTGTTTTCATTTTATTTCTACTTTTATTTTGTATTTTTATTTATTTATTTTAGATATTTTATTTTTTAAATTTTTTTTCTTCAATTTATTAATATTTTTTTCCCCAATTGCTTTTCATAAAAATAATAGTCTGATGTTTTTGGCTTTTTTTTTTTTTTTTTTTAAATTTTTTTTTTACTTTTTAAAAAAATATATATATGTATTTATTTTACATTACATAATAAAACACATACTATAACATCATAAGCTAAAACACAAACAAAGCCAGATATAAAAAATACATACATAAAAATACACACCTTTTACAGTTTACCTTCCTTTATTTTCACATGCTCTGGTGCTTTTTTGGTGTTTCGGTGGGACTTTTTTGTGTGTTTTTTTGCCATGTTCACACAGGCTGATGAGCTGTGTGTTGTCATTGTGTGCTGTTGTGTGTTGTTCGTGTCGTGCTGGTGACGCTGTGTGCTGTGTGCAGTTTGCAGATACAGAGGATGTGGTGTGTGTGCGCGGTTTGAGCTCGAAGATTTACAACTATTGGAGGAAGTGACAGCAGCTTTGAGAGCGGAAAATAACACACACAATCACTGCGAGGACCTACTTTTGTTGTAATTCCAGTGTAAATATGATAGAAAAGATGCTCATTTTTTATTTGTTGTTCGTCGGCAGAAAACAAAACGAAATACAAAATCATTACAAAAAGACAAAACACGGAGCTGAAAAAGAGTCACAGAGGTTTTTTCTTCTTCTAGTTTATCTCTAATTCCAGTGTAAATATGTCAGATTAGAGTAAAGATTCTCATTTTCATCTGTTGTCCCTCGGCAGGTGACACAGAAAACAAAACAAAAGAAACAGAATTAAAGAAAGAAAGAGACAAAACACGGAGCTGTAAAAGTCCAGATTCAAAGCGACGTGTTTTTCCTTCATTTACAGTTTAAGTGCAGTTTGAAAATGATGTTTTTTAATCCCGAATTAATTGTTTTGAATGAAATAATTAAAATATTCTGCTTAGAGACACAGAAAACAATACAAAAGAAACAGAAAGAAAGAAAGAGACAGAACACAGAGCTGTAAAAAGTCACAATCAAAGTTTTTTAATTCATGTTTTTTAATTCCGAATCAATAGTTTTGAATGAAATACTTCGGATTTAAAATATTCTGCTTAGCGTTTACGTGGAAATAATAATTCAGAATTGAGGTTTACATGGAAAACACGTTAAATCGCGTTGGCGGAGCTGTCGATTTGAGCTCCCTCGCTTTACTACACATGCGCACGACTCCCAAGCACTGTCGATTTGAGCTCCCAAGGCTCCCAAGTGGAATAACAAGTCACATTTTAAAAGTCTTTTGGTTTTATTGTCTGTTTTGACCACTTAAACATCGACATTTGCGTGTTAGATTTGCGGCAGAATACGTACATTAGATGATTGAATAGTTTGGATTGAATATTTGATTTTATCGTTATTTTTTTAAATTTACATCGTATTTTATTTTATTTCCATGTGTAATTTTGTTTAAAAAGGCAATGTATAAATAAAATATCACTGTATTATAATAGTAAATCCACACTGTTGCCTATGATAGTGTTAAATATAAAGATTTCAGTGTTTCCGGTCATATTTTTCTCTTATGGGAGCCTTATTTGATAGACGATACTGGCTTGTCGAAATGAGCTCCTCTGCCCAAATTTATCTAAATAAGTGAATAATGGTGATTGCACAGTGGGAACATTATTCGATGGTTAAATTGGCCTGTCGATATGTGCTCCCTTTAGTCTTTTAGTTTAGAGCCTTATTTGAGCAGAGTACGACTGTCGAAATGAACTACCTACGCAGATTCATATAAATGAGATGAAATTGGACATAACCAAAGTATAAAGTCTGATCACCGTGTGCAAACAGAATCAAAGCAAATGTCTGTAATCCAAAGAAATGTTGTAAAACTGGGAAGGTCAGAGTTTATTGGATCGATACAACTGTAAACGGAAAAAAAAACATAAAGTAGTTTATTTTGACGGGGTGGCCGTAAATCTATAGACGGCACTGCTGGGAGCTCATTTCGACAGAACACCGGATTGTCGGGATCGCGTCGGAAGAGCGACCCAACGAGAATTATTTTTAAGAAGAATAAACGTTTACATGATCGAGGAGTAAATTAATTTGACTTTAAAAATCGGAATAAACCACCCACTTACTTTGGAATTAAGTTCAATTCTGAATAATAGTTTTCATTCGGAATTAAGTGCTCACATGGTCTTTTTAAAGCGGAATACATTTTTATTCAGAATTTCATGATTTTTATTCGGACTTAAAGCTCTCGTGTAAACGTGGCAACTGTTGGTTTTTTTCTTGGACATTTTGGTTGTGCCTCACAGTCCCCTCAAGCTGTGGCCCTGATGCCCTCCCGCTCAAAATATTTGGATTTCTAAAGTCTTTCAACGGACAAAGAGCGAGTCTGTGTAAAGATCTGAATATAAAACGTGAGATTTTAAATGAACAAAGTGATAAAAACTGAGTAAACTATAGAATATTTCCTATACTTAAACAGTGCAGTGGTGAAATGGGTAATGTTTTTTGCTTTTTTTGTTGTTGTTTTTTAGTTTTTTAAATACACTGTCCCCATAAAACACTTCTCACCCTGTGGTCTTCACTTCTCTAATCAAATTTTTTATGTGCATTTGAGTAAATCGGGTCATATTTCAGTCTTTTCTCGAATGTTAAAGCTGAAAAAAATGAAACTATTTCTCTAGCTTCGTTGCCACAAGAGTTTCCATAACACACACACACACAGTGGCTCCGGTCTCGCTCCTCGTGCAGCATAGATGGACACACACACACACACACACACACACACACACACACACACGGGTACGAGAGCGTGATCTGTGAGACGTGTGTGTGAGTTTGTGTTTGTGCGTCTGTGTGTGGGACATGGATGAGAGAGGCCTGAGGCTGTGGGGCTCTGGTCGGTCTGATCAGAGAGAGGCTGGAGGGGGCGGACCGGACCCTCCTCACACTCACACCAGGACCCTACACACACACACACACACACACACACACACACACACACTGAGGAGAGGGGTTTTCTGTCGTTTTTGTTCAGTTAAAAATGACAATTATAATGGAGATTAATGGAAGTGTGTTGTGTTTTTCTCCTGTGAAACTCAGATGATCCTCGTTTGTTCATTGTAATTGTATTTAAATAAAGATTGAATGTGTTTTGTTTCAAATTGTGGATAGTTTTTGGATCAGCGGTTTGTTGGTTTGGTTTGTGTGAAGTGCGTTCAGTTCATCGTCTGTTCATCCCTCAGTCGTCCACGAAAGATTCAGACGAAAAGAAACATTTTATGGGAAAATAATAATAATAATATTGTCCAGTTTCAGAATATAATTTTTCAGATTCCTCTTGAGGGATTGAAATTTTGGCACCATTTTGAATTCATGTGAGTAAAATAAATACATTATAATGTTTTTCTATAAAGTTGTGTGAAGTTGATGCAGACGTGAGGTGGCTTCTCGTTTTTTACCGTTTCTCAAACACTGGTGCTGATATTTAGATTTATTTATTGTCATTGTATGAAATACAACGAAACTTCAACAGAGCAAATCTGTAGCAAAAATAGTAGTAAAAATGTAGTAAAAATGAACAAATGCAGACACATCCTCACATCCATACCAATAAAAAAATAAAAAATAAATAAAATAAATTGATGATTGCACTGAGTCCCTGAGTGTTGGTGTTTCGGCTCCAGGTCAGATCCTCACTGATCTCCACACCCAGGAACTTAAAGTTGGAGACCCTCTCTACTAGGGCTGGGTATCGTTGAGAATTTGCCGATACGATACATACCTCGATACACAGGCCATCATACGATACATATCTCGATACATTGCGCTTTTGATTCGAGATGATATATTTCAATAAACAATAATAGCTAAATCTTTGTCTTTGTTAAACCACTTCTTGCCACTGCAGACAGAACAGAACAGACTTATTTTGACCCCAAGAGCTGCTTCTACAATATATCTATCCTAGGGCAAGACAAAAGTGGCTCAAATTCAACTGGGTCATGTGGAATACATTATGTCCAATGAATATAACGGGATCACAATTAAACAAGTTCATAAACACAAACATTTGAATCATCAAAACAGTGAAAATGTCAAATGTGCCGCATAAACGAGTTTCCTTCCTCTAAACAAACAACAAAACTGTAGCTCTGTAATAAAAATAATTTAGTAAAATATACCTAAAAATACTATTGGCAATATATCAATACAGTCACCCACGATATCAATACTGTATCATCACATTAAGCGATACGATATATTTTGATATTTTTTTTACACACCCCTACTCTCTACCTCCTCTCCGTTGATGCAGACGCCATTGTGATGGTGAATGTTTTTCCTAAAATCAATTATGATTTCTTTAGTTTTCTTTGTATTAAAGTGCAGGTCGTTGTCTGTCTGTGAGTTCTGTTCAATAGAATCAGAAGTTCAGATGG